GGGGGGGGGGGGGGGGAGTTTACTAAATGAGCTTGTGGGTGTTTCTTGTGTTGCACACCTGTCTGTCTCAGTCTAACATCAGCATCAACAAATGTGAATTGGAGGTCAGCACCAATGGAGGACTTCCCGTTGATCTGGAAGGCCCTCCCAGATCCAGATCTGGAGGGAATTCTCCCAGATTTTTCAGTGTTCCCCGGGGAGGCCCGCCTTCCAAATCTACGGGAGGGTTTCCATCATCCCCTCCCAGCTTTCCAGATTGATTGGTTGATATAACATATATCAGCATCCGACAATCCAACATGTCTAACCCATGGAAACCAAAAGCATAGTAGTCGCCTTGTCTTCCTCTCTGTGTCAACACGCTGCGACTTGCTCAAACGGATGCCGGATTGAGCGCTGTTGAACCCAAATTGATTGATCCCGTCGTCCAGAGAGGGACTGATGGTGAGTGAGCCAGTTGATTGAGTTGCTCATGATTCAGTTGACTTGAAATCTGGCCAAGATTGAGATGATCAAAGTTGGGCAACACCTTTGACAGGCTGAGGAACAGGGGCCGCTTAGATCTGGGACTTGAGGATGACGGAAAAGCACATCTGGGAAAATCTGGGATTCTGGAATTATCTGGAATCTAGGATTCCAGATCTGGATCTGGAAGGACTTCCAGAGTGACGGGAAGTCCTCCAATGTTAGAATGCATGGCAATTTGTTTGGCTCTCTGAGCCTATCTGTTTTAGGTATATGTAGATATGACCAACAGCTTGATATTCCACTTTGAATACCATAATGGCAGTACATACAGGGGCTAGTTTCAAGATGAAAGTTGACAAAATTGGCAGTTTTTCATCAGCTACAAAATGTTTTTGATCAAAATCTTTGATTGAGTGATTCTCAATGCTTATATGAATAGTTCTTGATCAACAATCAACCACATACATACATGCAGATTTGGAGTACAGATATCATCATTGAGTCTGCATGAGGATGAATGATGAAACCCCCTCATCAGTGTCGATACAGTTCAGCTCATTAAACAGAGCAAGGCCAAAGTAATTTCCCAAGCTGAAACTTCAGAGCTATATAAATGTGCAGAGCTGAGTGATCAGTGATGGGGTTATGTATGTGGACATTTGAGTTTGTGAAACAGTTGACAGCTGGGATGATTTGTGGGTTAAGTTAAGCTTGGCCAATGTTTGGGTGCATGTGATCGGGCCGACGTCGATGGGATGGCAGCAGGGGGGGGGTCTGTCTTTTAACCCTGGGCTGGCTGGTGGGCTGGTCCATCAAAAAAAAAGAAAAATAAAAGAAAAGAGAGGAAGCACTCGAAAACCTAACCAACTCTCACTGGGCTAGGTTCCAGAGTTCTCGGCAGGGATGAGCGACAGCAGAAGAACAACAAGCCAAGACCTAACCGAACAACAGCAACCAACAGACCTAATCACACCACTAGTAGTAGACCCACTCCTACTACTAACAACAACAACAACAACAACAACAACCCAACAACAACAACAATCATCATCATCATCAACAACAACACTATCATCAAAAACAACAAGACTACCCAAATCAAAACTCATCCAATCCAACCAACTCAATCAAGCTGCTCAACAGGCATTAGAAGGAGTATGGGAAACACTCCAGATCGCCAACCAAGCCAACGACCAACTCAAGATATCCAGGAACCTCGACCGACAATTCGGGGAACTACATGGTCAGTAGTCAGTCACATCCGACCATCACAATAAAACCAACTCCGAAAAAAAAAGCTGATTCACAAAAATAACAGCATCGGCCGCGCCATTCAAGCAGGATGCCTTAGCACTCATCTGGCCGCAATGTCTGACCAACAAGACCGTCAAGACAGCCTTCAACAGTCGCTCCTCGCCCGTCTACTTCGCCATCCGTCGCGCCAACATCGCCTTTGTCGCCGAATACGTCCTCTATGCCATGCCCGGCGAAGAGGCCTATGGGAAGAACGATATCGTCTTTGCTTGCGAAGGCTTCTTGCCGCTCGTCTTGGACCCGCAACTCGTCTTGGAACCCCAGAGTTGGAAACTGTTTAACGAACTCAAAGTCCAGGTATCTTCGATATCTCTCATCAAACCCCCCCTCCTTCTGTTGCACTCATTTGTGTCGGTTTTATGTAGATTTATATCCAACGACTCGATCAGAGCGGCCAAGAAGAGGCTGACTCTCGCGTCCTTCCTAACCTCTTCGTCGAAAGCTTGTCTAGCTATTCAGGCTTAGAAGTGCCCCTCGAATCGGAAATCGAATTCGACAAACTAGCCACAGAAACCAAAGAAGAAGTCAGTGAAAACCAATCCAAGAAGCCACTTCCCATCCAATCCACTGACATATGTGTGTCCAATTTGATACAGCTAATCGGAGCAGGGGCGGATTTAGAGCTACTACAGAGCCGCCATCCGTACGGCAAGTTTGCGATCTGGGCGCTCGAGTTTCTGCACCGATGTGCGAGTCGGGTGGACGAAGAAGCGCAGGAATATGAGCAGCTGCAGCAGAGTCGCCAGAACGAGTCGACACGACGAGATCCGAAGGCGCGCAAGCGGGGCCGAACGGGCGAGGAGGCCGGGCCGAGGCCATCTGACGGCCCCCACGGACTGACATCCTCCTCTTCTTCCCTCCCCGTCCCGTCAACATCTCTTCCTCCTCCTCCAACTCCTTCCTCTCCCCCCTCTCCTTCCTCCGCTGCTGCTCTCAATGGGGATATCAATGTCGGCCCTGTCTCCGAAGAAGAGTATCCTCAGGAAGGCGGCGAACATGGATCCAAAGGGTACCTTCTTCCCCATCTCCCCTTTCCTCAAACTAAAATGACTTGGGTAACTAATCAAACCAACAAAACAGATATAATCCCTATCGATTAGGACGAGGCAAGGGCCCCACATCGATGCCGCGCCGTCGATGGACTCAAGAAGAATACGAACTCCTGTTGGAAGAGGTTCGGTTGCACTCGAATAAGTATGATTGTATGGCCCAGATCATGAAACGGCATGGCAAAGGGGGCGAGATCTCGGAGGTGTTGAAGGACCAAAACAATGTGAGCTTGAAAGACAAAGCCCGAAACGTGAGTCGGAATTTTCTTGTTCCTCAATGAAGGGTAAATCAAAACGAGAATTGACGAGAGAGATGTGAAATCTTTAAGTTGACAATGGAATGGCAACGGCATGGATATCCGGAAGATAAGCCGTGGTTAAAAGAAGCCTTTGCGCGCTTCTCGGTCAAGAACATGAAGCGGGCACACCCACGAGGTCGTGGCTCGGCGACGGGCGACCCGGACGGCTTAGGGACGACTCTGGGCGGAGAAGGCGACGAAGAGATCATCGGAGGAGGAGGAGAAGAACAAGAACAAGAAGATGACGACCGGACTCCTCGCCACGCCAAACGTCCCCGTCCAAACCTCCCCGTCAACAACAACCCTCACCACCACCACCATCATCATCCTCAGTTGCAAGAAGAGGATGGCTCGTCTCATCTGGAAGATATCGGCGTGCTCCCCGCATTCGAGTTCCCGAGCGTCGACGGCTTCGACCCCTTCGATCCCTCTCCCGACCGCTCGCCTCGTCTGAATCTCGACGATTCTTCGTCCCATCTTCCTACGCTATCTCTGGACATTCCACTGCAAGAGTTCGACGACTTCTTGCTCCTCAACAGCCACAACAGCACCCACCACTCTTGTACCACTACTGAGCCTGCTACTGCTGTTCCTGTAACGATCGGATGTACTGCCGAAGAACTTGCGCAGATCCATCCCTTGCTCGCCTCCACCGGCCCCTCATCGTCGTCGTCGTTGGTAACGGCTCCTCCTGGCGCTGCTCTGACACCCACTTCGGCCCCGGCCTTCGCTCGCTCTTCCCAGCCGATCGATGCGGCCTTGGAGAAGGCTCTGGAAAAGGCTCTCGATAAGGCCTTCGACTCGGCCTTCCATTCCCAGCTGGATGTCCGGTTGGATTCCGGGTTGCACTCTGGCTTGGAGATGACAGGCTTGGTGGACCTGGCGGGGCTGGAGAGGATCTCGCAGCCAGCGCAGGAGTCGCCGACGACGACCCTCTGCGAGACTCATGTCCCGACCACCCTCCAATCGACCGCCACGGAGCATTCTCTACTGGCCCTCTCCTCCTCCTCCTCCCACAGCCTCGATCACCTTGTTGCACAGATCACCCTCCCTTCTTCTACGAATCTCCCACTCCCGCTTCCTACTACTACTTCTTCTGGTTCTTCCGGTTCGGTTACAACCATCACGCCGGTTCCCGGATTCTCGAAGCCCGTCGATCTTCCCGCGATCAACCCCGTCTCTGGTGCCCTCGAAGCGCGTCCTTCGGGCTCTGCGGATCCGGATCCGGATCCGGATGCCGGGGAGCCGCAATCCGGGATCGGTGCTCACCAGCTTCTCTTGGTGGACCCTGCTCTTCTTTAATCCTACCCTCCCTTCCCCCCCTTTTTTTAGTATCACATGAAATGAAGATGTGACTAGTGTATTGTTTTTTTGTTTGGGTCACTCATTATAATCTTTTTTTTTTGTTTGTTTGGTTGGTTGGTTTATACATCTCTTGGTGTGTGTGTGTGTGTGGGTGGGTGGGTTTTTTAAAGAAGGGGGTTGGGTGGATGAATGATGGATAGTCAACTGTGTGTGTGTGTGTGTGTGTTTTTATGGTCGACGATGGGGCGTGGTGCAGGTGGATGGGGCCCCGGCAAGTCGGTACTTGACCTGGGGGGGGGGTTGTGGATCAAGTCTTTACTAGTGGTGGTCTGGGCTATCATCTCTCTGAGTATTACTCACATTCACAGGAAATGCTGTGTGTGGGTCACTGAAGGTGGCTCTTTTATTTGGTATGTACAGTGGTGTTGTTGTTGCTGTCCTTGCTGAGATGGAATGAAGGATGAAGATCTGGGATGGGCGTGTGGACTCTCTGGATGGGGCTTTGGTCATCCCTGGGGACATTGTGAATTTGTACTACATGTATGGATGTCTTGTTGGATTCATGTCTACATAGCCGTACCTACTGTGTCTTGGTTCTCTGTATGGTTGGTGGTGTGGGAGATGACTTTTTATGTAGAAGGTGATGATGGATTGATGAGCTTTTCATCATGTACATATATGTAAATTTCTGATATTCCTGCAAAGAGATTTTCTGTGTCAACAGACTTCAGAAACCAAAAGAGAGAGAACAAAAAGAAACACCAAATTAGAAGGGCTGGAGTGGGAGCAGTCTATGAGCCTCAAGAGTGTGTGTTAAAAAAGTGTGTCTGGGGGCTTTTAGAGAGAGAGAGGCTTGTGTTGCCATGAGACAATAGGACAGTTCACGTCTGAACTTTGGAGCAAGTTTTATAGCATTTATCATTAAAATTTTCCAAGTTTGTCAAAAATCTCAAATTCCTCCAAGCCTGATGATTCATGAGATTTGACAAAATTTGTAAAATTTTATCCATAAAAGTGCTAAAACCTGCCTTGAACTTCAGACGTGAACCGGCCTAATACAACGGCCAGTAGAAAAAAGAAAAAAAAAACTCCTGCTTGCTCTGGTGACCGGTGCTGATGATGAGCGTGTGGGATGGATAGACAACCCGGAGCCATGGTCATAAAAGAGTGGGCAAAGATTGTTGTGGCGGGCTGTCCAAAAAAGAACAGTTTCAATCACTGCTTCATGGTGGGGTTACAGGTAGACAGTACAAGGTTTTTGCTCAAGTCATGAGAGTGGGCTTGGAGAGTTCAGAAAAACATAATACATAATAGGAGCAAGATCCTGGTGGGGCTCTGGGGGTTGAGCCATGAACCCCTTGGTCCTCGGGATGAGCCTCATTGGAAACATCTGAGCCAATGCCTCCGTATTTATGACTTATCATAAGAATGTTCTTGTTCATTGTATTGTATCCTCAGCATCAGCATCAGTAAACTGAGATGTTTGAGTTCCCAATATTGGGACCTGCAGGCCTGATTCACGTATCCACATGAATTGTGGCCCCCAGTATAATATCATGTATGTGTGTGAGTGTATTTTTGGCTTGGGTGTTCTTATGTAGGCCCTAGGGTGCTCTTTGTGTGAGGATGATCATCAAGCTGTCTGAAGTAGTAAGCTCCGGAATCTGGAACATCCGCAGATCAGAGTTTAATGCAGTTTTACTTTCATCTTTTCCACCTTTCTTGAGACCCCTCATCAATTTGGGATGGAAATTCAAAGGGGCCAAGATTTGAGAAACAATTGTCTTGTCTTTGGATGACCGTCCCTCTATTCAAAGTTCAGGGATCCTAATTACATACTTCTGATTCATTGATCATCTCTTTTTTTTATTTTGTGGATTTGGGCTTGGAAATATTTCCTTTCCTGGCCAGCCAAGGATTGGGCTTGTTTAACTAGAGTACTTCCATGGCTGGAACTAACTCAAACCACTTGTTTCATCAAACATCATGTGGAAACATCATTTCAAGAATCTGTGGCAGTTTACCCTGTCCTTCATGTGACACAGAGCCCCCGTAATTTGAAAGGTCTCCATTGAATGTGCAGGGGACATGTAAGCAACATGAGGTGGATGCAACATGAGGTGGATGCAACATGAGCTGGATGCAACATGAGCTGGATGCAACATGAGGTGGATGCAACATGTGAAGTGACTGTGCTGAAGGATTCAGAGGGCTGTCAACCTCATGACAAATGTATGACTCCAAATCATTCAAACTTGAACATTGATGACATGGTTTTTGGAAGGACTGTGCAACTGGTAGTACAATCAGGAAATTGTGTTTCACCGGTTGAAATGTGAGTTGATTTTCCAGGTTTTGAATGCTGTTAGAAAAATCAACTTTGAATCCCCCTGAGGTTTGTAGCATGTATCACTAGTCCAACCTTGCGATTCCAATCAAACATCTTGGGTGTTTGGAGCTGTATTGAATTTGTATTGGGCCATTTAGTTTTGATACCTGATCCAATATGAGTACATGGTGTGAGTCAAACAAAGTTGATATGGTGTGTACTGGGCCCAAAAAACCCCCAAAATATGCACAATCTTCAGGTTGGATTGTAGAATGAAACAATACAATATTGGAATTTAACATCAAGTAAGTAAGTATTTCATTGTATCACATCAATACATGAAAAAAAGACTGTCCATGTGTGTCAATGAAACTTTCCACACAATTCCTGGTGGTAGAAAAAGTGTTTTAACAATGGAAACAGCAATACAATTTTGACAATGAACCACCAAATGCTGCAGTGATATATCAAACTAGGATGGAAGGTTCCAAAAAACATCTAATCCACTACCAAGCTACCACAACAATGGGTTAAATTTAACAGCCACTGTGTACGCACACCCACACTTTCTCACCAAAGTAGTCCCCATGAGGAACGTGAGGTGAATGCATGTCACTGTCAGACAAAAAGAATCTTTTGAATTAATGCAATTCAAGAGCTTCATGGTACTAGACACCTTCACTTTTATTTTTTTATTCACAGTGCTGTGCAGTCCAACATGGTATTAATTGCAGCACAGAATGTTTCCAGGACTGAGATGGGCTGATCATAACACGATCCAAATCAGTGGCTAGTTGATATCAATTACGGAGCCTACTCTTTCTCTCTCTTGTAGTGTACTGAAACCACACCAGGTTGGAATCAGACCGTATTATGCAAGAATTTGCATTTCCATTTGTCCATAAGTTTTGAGGATACATAGCAGGTAGGTCAGCCAAATCTGTAGGCAAATCACATTGGTTGAGTTGACTTGGCTCAGTTGACCTGAAGAGTAGTCTATCATGGACAGGATTATAAGCCCAAGATCTAGCTTTTGTTGTGTCTGTCCCGGATCATCCAAAAGATTGATGTGCGTGCCAAGCCCTATATTATATGTAAGCTCTAAGCTGATTTTTGGAGGATCTCCAATGTGAAACTTAGAACCAACTGTGGAAGCCAGTGATCAAGTGTCATTTATTTGGAGCTGTGACAAGAGCTTTCAAAAGCAGTGTTGGTGGATCCCAATTTTTGGGAAAGGTGTGTCTCATTCTGACCGTAGCCACAAAGGATGTGAACTACGATTGTCTGGCCCAGCTGTGGTGCGCTGGGAAGGACAGGAAGCACTCTTGACCCCTATTCCAAAGATTTCTTCTTCTCCTAAATGGACAGCCTTTTGTTTTATTTGGGGACATGATTACAGTATTCCCCTTGGAACGGCTGTGTGGCACAGGGTTTTCTGAAAGATGTTGTTGCAATATGGTGTCCCTGAGGGCCAGTGGGGGTTAGGGTATTACTGGCATACATGTAAACCCCCTCCATTTTCCAAGAAAGAGTGTGTGTGGATGTGGAGGGCAGAATCACTTTGGCACATCAGTAAGGGTGGTGCCAACAACTTTATTCACAGGCTTTGGTGGGCCTGTATCAAAAACAGTGGCCCTTGCCCACACTACAGCCTTTATATAGCAGCTTGGAATCCATCCCCCACTTCTCATTGGCAGTCCATCATATGTCTGAACCACTGTGACAGATGGGTGAGAGCTCCTTCTTCTGAGCTGCTACATAGAGACAAGCTGTGATTGAACCCCTCTGGATTGTTTCAGAGAGACTCTTGATCCTTGTTTGCATTCATTCTGTCTGGAATTTCCCTGATGGATTGATGTCAAACTTGTTCAACTAATTTGCCCCATCTTCCAATCTAAAGATTCCTCCTCTAGATATGGCTGGATAATCAATCTGGGACAACGTCTCATGATCTGAGTGACTATCATTGGGAGGTTTTGTTTGGATCAGGGCGGAGGGGTGAGATGTCTCATCTGACCCACTCACTCTTCAATCCTCTTACCATATATGTAGAATTCAAAGGGCAACAAATAAACATATATATGTAAAAGGGAAGGATAATCATATTGTGATCAGTCAGACCAAACCACATATGCACTCTATGGAGATCTGAAACTATGTAGCAGTTTGAGGGTCTGGACCCTGATTGATGATGATATGTGAGTGTGTGTAGTATCAGTTTGAGAGAGCTGTTTTATATTATTATCAAGATGAAGGGCTGTTTGGAGAGTGTGTTTTGATGATAAGATACAAGTTTTCTTGCAGGTTTGCTGTGAATGATGCTCTGATGTTTGTTTCATCTGTGTGGGGAAGCATCAGATGATGGTCTTTTTGATGATGATGGATTGTGCAAGTCAGCAGATATATTGAGTGTCCAACAAGATGGATGTGATGTGACAGCGAGTATGTATGTAGGGTGAGGGTGTCCAAACCCGTCCAAACGGGGGATTATTCCGCCTTGCGCTTTTCAGGAGTCAGGAGACCCACGGGACAGCCCAGTATAAATAGGACCCTCTCCCTGCAACTTAGCTGCTGGACTGTAGCCAGCCTTCATCAACACTCCATCCCATCTCATGGCCATCTGCCTGCAAGTGTAGATGAGCAGGATAGGAGACCATCTTATAAGTTTGCTAAGGGGAAAAGGAGCTCCTCTTTCAGAAGAACAAGAAGAAGGGTCAGACTGAGAGGCTTGGAGCAGACTCCCTGGAGAAACAATATCCCACTCCTTCAAAATTCCTATTTTCCATAGAACAGTGGATGCAGCTACCACCTACACACTCACCACCACCAACACCACCACCCCCACCACCAGAATGGACTCAGAGATCCTTATCAGTGCCGTCACGAATGCCCAAGCCCTCATCAAACACTCCTCCCTGAACCCCCAACCGAGCTTCCCTCGACACCATCAGTTGGGCTGTGCAGTCGTCATCTGCGCCTGCTTCGAATCCACTGCTGTTGAGTACCCTATCAAACTGTTCTTTTGGCAATTGGATACTGACTTCTTTTCGCTGGTTTTGTTTTTTTGGTCGTATATATATAGGAAACCGATCTGCTCGCTAGCGTCTTCAAGAAACCGGCCTCACTGAACTACCAGACCCTTTTCAACGCGATCAAGCAGCCCAAATCTCTGGAAACCGTTCGGGTAAAAGCCTTCTGCTGCAGACACATAGAGAAAAACACACACACACACCTCTTGTTGACCACCGTTTTTGTTTTTGTTTTTCTTGCTGATGCTTTTTTTTTGTAGCACGATTTAGTGAGCGGGAAATATGAATCAGCTAGGTCTTTCTACATTGACTTGAAGTCGGTTTACAGCACCCTCGCCGTCCTCTCTCAAATCTCTCCCTCCATCTGGAAAGCTGCCCAACACATGGACGTCAGTATTTTCTTTTCTTTTTTTTTTTCTCAACCACAATTCTCTTCCCCCCAAAAAAAAAGGAGAAAATTCAAGTTAAACTGACCCTCTTCTTTCCAAAAAAAAATTACACACCACGAGATAACAAACAACAGAACTTTACGGATGAAGCATGGATGACGGTAGTCTCATTACAAGCGGAAAAAGTCGAAAACGGGGAACTAGAGAATCCGTTACCGGATGCCGAGCATTTATTCGAGAAGGACGAAGCAGGATCGCGACCGTTATGTTTAACCGAGGCATTACTGGAGGACATACTGGAGAGTTTATCGAGCCGGTTGACGACAGCGGCGCGGGCCCAACTGCCGTCGAACCGGACCGGGGGAGGTCCACCACGACTGATCCTTCCGGACCCCAACACTACTATGGGGCCTTCTTCATCCGCCGAGCCTGACCCAGACATCGAAGTCGTCTATCCTCCACTCGTCTCCCGCAAACGCCAACTCACCCCTGACCTCTGTCCCCATCCGCCCTCCCCTTCCTCCCTCGATCATCTCCCCTCCGAAAAACGCTCCCGTCTCTCCGCTGAGTTCGAGCTCTCATATGACCCCGGTTGGTTGCCGCCCGTCGAACGCATCAATCTGCCTAAAGCTCTCTCCCTCCTCCTCGACTTACTGGCTATCATCTTGGATCATCCGCGTAAGAGAGAGAGAGCGCGCAAAAGCCCTCCTACTTTCTCTTATATTATCATCTACAAAAATTAACGTCTTTTTGTTACATTTCGAAAACAATCATAATAGGGATGCGGATTTTGGATCCCCAAAGAACAGTCAAACGGCGTCTCGAACAGCCGCTCGAAAGACTGCGCCAGACGATCAACGAGGAGCCTGAGCGCCTGGACTCGTTGAGGACGATCGACCAATCGATCTACGCGATCATCCTGGACGCCAAGCAAAGTCTCCCAGACGAGCTGAATGGGACTGACCTCGAAGGAGCCGACGAGACAGAAGTATCAAACCACGACCAGGCCGAAGATGCCGAAGAAAACAACAGCAAGAAGAAGAAGAAGAAGAGGAGGAAGGAGATGATGCTTCGGCGGACAAAAGAGGGCTGGAAACGGACGAGTCTTTGTCTCCAACGGATCTACAACGAGGTCTACAAGCTCGATTTTGCCCACTATTGCAAGACCTTCTCGGTCCCGCCGACGGAGGAGGAGGAGCTCAACGAGGCCCGGATCCATGCGGCCCATCTCGACGTCTTCCGACGCACTCTCAACCGTCTCGTCCGAGCCAACGTCGCCCTCGATCTGTCTACGAGCCTCCTTACTTCGCAGGAGGAGGAGCAAGAGGAGGGAGAGGGGGAGACTGGTATTGCGAAGGGAGAAGATGAAGCTTACATCCGTCTTGCCCTCAAAGAAGAACAAGAACAACAACAAGATGATGATGATGATCAACAGCAACAATTAGAGATTGAAGAGGAATCTAGAAGCGCCAAACGACGGGCAGAGATCTTGAACGGGTTCCTCAATCCATCTTCTTCCTCCTCCTCCACCACCACCATCGGGCCTCGCTCCTCCTCCAACAAAATCACTAAACTCGCCACCGTGCGCTTCAAAACTTTCACCCTCAAACTCGGCGACTGGGTCCGCTTGTTCGACCCGCTTCATCCCGCTAAACCCCTCGTCGCTCAGCTCTTCGAACTGTCCCTCGCTGGAGCTGATCCGCCTTCTCATCCCGATCCTAGCTCCAATTCGTTCGTCTCTTTTTCTTTTCTGCGTAGTAATTTATCTCAAAATCTTTCCCAAATAACTAACCTACAACAAACCCCTCCCCTTCATTTTTCATTTCCTGCAAACAAAAAATCATGCCCACCAAACAAAAAAAGAAATAGGAGGAGACGGTCGAGCGGACAGATATACCTGACCGTGTCGCGATACCTGAGGGCCAGTGATATCCCCGCGTCGTCCGAGCACCGGTTCTTCGCTAAGGAAGTCTTCCGATCGGCTTCCTTCCAAGTCCATCCCATCGAGTCAGTCTTCTATCCTCTTCCATTCTAATTTGTGTATCTCTCTCTGCATTATCCATTAATCTTTCCGTGTTTTTTTTTTGTAGGGATCTGTTGGATTGTTGTGCGGTTTTGCATTTGGATGATTATTGTGAGTGAGACACCAGGATTGCCAATAGCTCGACAGGAGGATTTTGATTGAGGATATGATTTATGTAGTGCAAGGACGACCGAGGATATCGGATGGGATCTCGACGACCCATTTCTGCCGATACGGATACAACCCGATCCTGCAACGGTTCACGAGTCTTTCAGCGGCCGAGTTTGGACGCAGCATGGCACCGGGCTATCAGAAGCCCGAGCTGGTCGACTTGCCCAACCGTCTGACCACCGATCAACTCAAGGTCCAGAAAATCCACCCGCTGCGCTCCCCCGTCTTCAGACTCAAGTCGCTCCATCAGGACCTTCTTCCCGATCATGACCGGCTCCTCTTCCGCGCTCAATCTGACCCCTCCGCTCTCCACTTCTCCTCCTCTTCTCACCCCTCCAATCATCCCCGTCGATCCTCGGAATTCAATCGTCCGTACTCTATCCTCCTCTTAATTAACGCGTCGCGAGGAAACTGACTCCATCTCTTCTGTTTTTTTTTTGGTTGTCATTTTTTTTTTCGGTATGTTATAGCTCGTTCGAATACCAGCTTGCCTTCTCCAACCGCCCTGCTAGATCCTAGCCTCACAGCCCCTTCCGGATCAACAACCGAGCCTCTCCCGATCCTCAGCTCTACCCACCTCTCCATTCAGCCTTCCGCTACTGATGCTCACCCTCCTCCTCCTCATCCTGATTCATCCGACGAATCGCTCGACAAACCCGTTCAGTTCGTATCCCTTCCTCTCTTTTCTTTCACTGTCATTGACTGAAGTTTATTTTGTGTGTGTTTGTTTTCTAGGAATATTGGCGGTCTTGCTTTTGGGAAGTTGCAGCTCGAGGTGAAGGACCAACAGCAACAGCAACAACAACAGCAACAACAGCAGCAGCAAATTCAACAACACCAACAGCAGCAGCAGCAAATTCAACAACAAATGCAGCAGCAGCAGCAGCAGCAGCAACAGCAACAGGCGCAACAAGAACAACAACGACAACAGCAGCAACTACAACAAGTGCAGCATATACAACAAATGCAGCGACAAAGACAACAAGAAAATCTTCAACAACAACTCCAACGGCAGCAACAACAGAAGCAGCACCTACGCGAACAGCAAAAGATTCAAGAGCTACAGCGACAGCAGGGTATACCCGTCGATCCACTTCACGTTGCACAGAATCATCTGCCAGACAGATCGCGGGAAAGAACAGCCATTCATGGCTCTCGACCGGTCCCACTCCCTACTCCGGCTGCAGCTAAGCAGCAATACGCATTACTCGATCGTCAATATGTGCCCGCCCAGCAACGACCTTCAACGCAACAACAACAAACAGGGCGAGCTGGTCCTTTTGTTCAAAGGCCACAGCAATCTCAAACCCCACAGCACTCGCCACTCCAAACGCATATTCCATTACAACAGCAACAAGCTCAACCTCAACACCAGACCCATCCATCCCAACTGTTTGAAATGCATCCACAAGGATCTTCTCAGCATCACTCAGGGCGTTCAAGCTTACACTTTTCACCACACTCGACTCATGTTCCAATCAGTCAACCTGTTGGCCAACTCACCTCTCCACGACTCCCACTTGGCACTCCTAAACACTCTCCCCATCAATCCACTCTGCAGCTTTCATGTCCCCCTGGACGTGGAGGATCGTATCCCTCGGTGCCTAGTGGGACGATGACCAATGGAGAATCACCCAGAGTAGGCTTGAACAGTAGCCCGACAGGGCCGAGCCGGGAGGCGCGAGTAGTGTCTATCAACCCAGTCGATCCGCCGGGACAAGCTGTTTCTAGGAGTCCGACTCTTGGCCCACATCATCATCAGCATCGCACTTCGCAGCACGCGCAGATGACCCGACACATGGTCGGACTCGGATCGACGCCGACGTCAACAACAACAGCAACGACGGGCTCGATGGACCCGGCCCTGAAATGGCTCAGCTCGGTTCTGGAGTATGTCCCCCCTGGCCACGAAGCGGTGGACATCCCGCTCGGATGGCTCTACAACGAGTTCCATAAACATTGCGCTCGGCTCCCTGGCGACTATGGCATCTCCATCTCCGCCTTCGCTGAGAAAATCCTCGCCGCTTTCAATCGCACTCCCAATCAGCCCATCGTCTCTATCATCGGCACTCACGCGTCCTCCGCCGCCGCCGCCCCCTCTACCTCGCAAACCACTCTCATCAAAGGCCTCAGACTCCGCAGTCATCATCAGGTATCCTCTGCTCATCTTCCGCAGCGTCAATCTGCTGATGGTGTTACTATGGTCAGTCGTTTATCTCCACATTTATCATCTTTTATTGATGATTTACTTTATTAATTTTATTTTGAAAATCGAAACTTTTGAATGATGGAAAACTATAGATAGAGGGTCGAGTGGAAGGACGTCCCCTGACTAGGGACGAATCGGTGGTCTCGGTCAATGACGAACATAAGAATCTGAGAGACGGGTCGAGACACGAAGCGCATCAGGAATTTCCTGCTTCTTATCATCAATCGATCGAGCAACATCTCGAGAGACAACAGAAAGAGATCGAGAGCATCAGGTCTGACGTGTATGTCCTCCCCCCTCATCCCTCCTTTTTTTTCTCATGAACATTTCAAGTGGTTAAATGGAAGGTTTTTTTTTTGGATGACACACATAGACAATGGATCAAAGGGTTTTTAGCCAACCAACAGAAGACGCAAGACAAAGTGGTTGCTGGGCAGCAACAGATCCTGGCCTCTTTGCAGCAACAAGTCCGGCTACAAACCAACATGCTCCAGCAACAAGTCTTCCATCCCAGCTCGGCATCCTCCGCAGTAGTCGCAGCGGCAGCAGCAGGGGCGGGAGGCGGCCAGGTCCAAAGCCTCGGCCAAACCGGCGGCTCGCCTCCTACGCCCACCAATCCGGGCGCGCATCCGCCGCTCAAATCTCATCTCGCACAGCCCCAGTATGCCGACCCTTACGTCCGCCAACACCATCATCAGCAACAACAACAACAACAACTTAAACATCAGCAGCAACAGCACCATCTCCATTCGAAACAACAGTATCATCTTCATCAGCAACAACAACAGCAACAATTATTCGCTTCTCAGCACTCTCCCCCGCCCAAAATCGGATCCCCTTTGCTCCTCCCTCCGAACGCTGATAAGGCCCAAGAGCCGGCCCACATCGTCTCCCCTTACAATCAGTTCCATCGGTGATCTGCCAGTTACTTTTCGGGCTGGGTTCGGGGTTCATTTTTTTTTTTTTTGGTTTTTCGTAACTTATTTCTTAACTTATTTCGTAACTTATCGATTTCTTTCTTTGGTTTCATCGCTTGTTTCTTTCTCTCTTTGCTTATTTCTTTCGCCTTCTTTGAATCTTGATCTCCTTCTTTAAATCTTGATCTCCTTCTTTGAATCTTGGGCTCTGTTCTTCCCATCTCTCCCCCCTTTTTTTCTTCCTTTTTTTGGTTTTAGATGGGGTGATGGGTGATCACACTAGATATATATATAGATCAAATATTTGAAGTAAACTAGATCAGATTAGATATCACATTCCTAATGTATTTCTCTCTTTCTCTCTCTCCTTGACAAAAAAAAAACAAAATCATTTTTGGTTAATTTTTTTAGATGATTTCAAGTTATCCATTTGTTTATGTAGTGGGTATGTCGTTTCTTGGGATCACCATGTACATACATATATATGTCTCAAACACACACACACACACTCATTCAAATCCCCACACTCCTTTATGGTACACAAACACACACCATCAACACCACCAAGACACACAAGATTATTTATTCACTTGCACACACCGACGTCTCAACAGCTCCCAAGATTGTCCACAAACCATCCACACACACACCTGAACACACAACAGCAACTCAGCAGATTTATTCACACCCAAAGATCCCTTCCTATTTTTTTTCTTGGAGTTCATCTATTTTAAGGGATTGATCCTGTTCACCACAAAAATAAAAAATTGGCTTCTCTGTCTTGACTTTTCTCATTTTCTGATCTTCTTGGAGAATTTCTAACCCCCTTATATATATCATCTATCAGTGATTGCTCTAGATACCTACCCCTTATTTGTATTTCTCATGACCTCTCTGGTTTTTTTTTGGGTGTGTGTGTGAAATGTGTGGTGGATGTGGAGACTAGTTGTCAATACCTGCCTCCCTGCCCTTCTTTCTTTCTTCGCCCCATCTTCCCATCATTCCACAAGAAAAGGAAACAACGGTCTTTCCTTTTTTGGTCTGCTAGTGCTGCTGCTTTTTTTCTCTTTGTGTATTTGTTTTTGTGATGTGGGTGTGTGTGTACAGTAGGAGGCCAGTTGAGGGTTGAATGATAGATCTAGAGTGTGTTTTGTGGTGTATCCTTATACTTACATATATATAAATATATACATAGAGTGTTTTTCTTTGCTTGTAACTAGTATTAAGGCCACTTCTTCCAATCAGTCTTTTTTCAGGCCACTATACTAAGACAGATACATCCATGCCTTGTGTTTGCTCTTCTGTTGTAATTACCTTGTTATTATATACCAGCTGCTTCTCTACCAATGTATATGTCAATCCATGGCAGCTCATAAGATCACACACCACACAACTTGGTTCTGACACTGTGGCCTTTTTTTTGGAAGGGGGGGCCAATCATCTCATTCATGTTTTTTTTTTTTGGATGAGTCCAGGTGATGATGAGATGGAATTGTTCACAAAACAAAAAAGGCATCTCATGTTAAGGAATCTGATCCAGAAATGTGCCTTTGGAAAGTGAGTCTTTTATGTTGCATGGCTTATTGATATCTATTGGATTCAAGTGGTCACTTGTCTTGATTGAGTTTTATCCCAGATCTTTTACCTCAAAAGCTCTTGTGTTTGCACCTTGTGTAGCTAGAAGAAACGTGTCTTGGCATCACATAGACTGTCAGTTTCATTTTTAGAAGAGGCTAGTGTTACACAGCTCATCATTCATCCTACAAGAGGAAAGTAAGACTGAAAATTATCTTGTATTAAAATAAAAACAAACGAAAAATCCTTTTGTTTTTCCTTGTCATCTCTCTTTTTCTCTCCTCTGGTTGTATTAACTAATCCATTTTGAAACCCATCCAAAATACCCCCCTTTTTCTTGTGTCCTGTTGACACATACAAGGCTCAGTCTCACAATAATAATGAATAAAAAAGAGAGTACCATTGATAAAAACTAGCTTGTGAGAATAGAATGACCTATCTTTGACTACTATGACAAGGTTTTCTTGACAACACGTGCAGCAGTGGGCTGCTACGCTACACTACACTTTTGGCCCAAAAAGCTTAGCGTAGCGGCGATTTTTTTGCGCCAAAATGTTGTAGTGTTAGCGTTTTTTTTAGCAGATTTTTGCTACGCAACACTGCGCTACTGGGCCAAAAAACCGCTAACCAGAGTGTTAGCATAGCTTAGTGGGCCCTTTTTTGGGGCCTATGCACATAGTGTTAGTGCAGATGTGGCGGAATTTCACTACACTACACTCAAGTTTAGCGGAATTCTGCTACACTAACACTACAGTTAGTGTAACTGGCCCACCATTGACATGTGTGCGTGAAGAGGATACTATCATGTTTCTGAAGGAATTTAAACAACTGATAACTGATTTGTAGAGAGGGAAGAGGAAAAGAGAAGAATTGGGTTTTAGCAAGGAGTAGAAAAAGGACATAATTTCAACAAGAATTGATCAAGATGTGGTTGATGAAACTGAATGATCAAGATATTGAATAGAATAAAAAATAAAAGTTATGAAAGATCCAGGGGGTTTAAATCAGACACCAGAAATGAAGCATTGATAACCAAGAAGATCAGCATATATACATGAGATAAACTAAGCCCTCTTCAGTCAGGTTTCTAGGACTACAAGATAGGGGGTCAGATTTAATAACAGGATGCTACCACAGACTACAATGGAGAAGAGCTTGATTTTGATGAGAGTTTAGACCCTAGTAATCATTGAAGACAATAGATGGATGCAGAAGTAAGAAATGGAAGCAGGCTGAAGTGACTAAAATGGAGGCAAAATTCCAGAAGAAGGGACCAGGGATGCAAGTATAAAAAGAAATAAAGAAATAAAATGGTATCAGATTTTGAGAATGCCAGTTCCTAGCCCCATCCCACCAATGTTAATAAGAGATTATGCTGAGGGACCCTCAACCTGCAGCAACCCCTATATGAGCAAGAAATCAGGTCACCACAAATTACTGATTTCTGCTAGCGGTCTTCAGGGATTTGGAACTGGCAAACCTAATCTTCAACCAACACACATGATTTTGTTTCAAACCATGGTAGAAGAAACAAAAGTGGATTTGAAATGAATTGGAAACCAAAATCTGAGTCTTAAAAGGAAAGAAGAAAAAGATTTTAAAGAAGATATGGAAAGTTGATTGGATGAATCATTTTCAGAAGTAAATCTTTGGTTATGTACATTAATGATTCTATCCTGCAGGTGTGGTAGTAGTTACTCTACATTTCTTACATTCCCAGACATATGCTTTATGGGTCCCATCATCGTTTAAAATAACCCTCTGTACATACCATCCAGCGTTTGGGTGTGATGAACACCCTGCTTTCACTGAATGGAGAAAGATTTGTATAAATAAAGCATATAATAGACTGTGGTAAACTATCTTCATCATGTAGAAAGGTGAGAAACAGGATAAAGTAGAAGTGAGGAAGTCTGGGACCAATCTTCATGAAGCAAGGCTACATTTATAGTGTCCAAATAGCCTTATCTCCAGCTGACTGTCAGGATTTTGGCCATGGGCAAAGGTGTCAGGGCTTTACAGATATTTAACTGATTGTATGTATTTGACAGATTGTACCCTTTTTCAAACCCTTTCAATAATCTCCCGCTGCTGCTGCAATTTTCTTAACCACTGGGCTTCTGGATAGGAGTGGCCCAAAAATTTCCTGTTTCGAGCACTGTAACCGATCTTCGGCTGCTTGCGCTAGCTTCCTGACCACTGGGTTACTGGATCGGAGCTGCAAACAAACCTCCTGTTTCAAACACTTTCACTAATCTCCGGCCGCTTCAACGAGTAGGCTAGCAGGTCAGAGCTGCGCAGAGATTTCATTTTTGAAACACTGTCACCCATCTCAGGCCACTTCTGCATGAAAAGTAGGCTGCCGGATTGAAGCTGCGCAGAAATTCGGCCAGCGCAGCCCCATGCATCGTTTGCCTTTTCCTATAACTGCCCGGAAAAACTTAAATCTGTTAGGAAGTTCTCCAATTTGCGCGCAGCACCTATTCGGTAACCTGCTGTTTCATACAATGGCAGGAGTGGCCGGAGATGGGTGTCATTTCTACGCAGTTCTGATCTGGCAGCCTGTTTGGCAGAAAATAGCACTAGCAGCACCGGCCGGAGATTAGTGAAATTTTCTGAAACAAGAAATTTGTCACCCATCTCCGGGCCACTGCTGCAATATTCTTGGAAAGTTGGCTGCCGGATTGAAGCTGCGCCGGAAATTCTGCCAGCCCAGTTGTTGTCGTTTTCCGAGAACAGCCCGGAAAATGAATCTGTTGGAGAGTCTCCAATTTGCGTCGCGCACGGATCCGTAACTTGCTGGTCATTAAATATGAAAAGTGGCCGGAGATGGGTGTCATTTCTTCGCAGCTCTGGTCTGGCAGCCTGTCTGGCAGAAGATAGCAGCAGCAGCCGGAGATGAGTGAAATTTTTTGCAACAAGAAATTTCTGCGCAGCTCCGATCCAGAAACTCAGAGAACCAGCTGGAGGTCGGTGACAGTGGCAGTGCTTGAAACTGAAAACTTCCTCCAATTTCCGGGCAGCGTTGATCCGAAGACCTTCTAGTTCATACAGTAGTAGCAGCAGTGGCCAGAGATGGGCGAAATTGTTTGAAACATGAAATTTCTGCGCAGCTCTGACCTGGAAGCCTACTGGTTGGACAGCGGCTGGAGATTAGTCAAAGTTTTTGAAACAGGAAGTTCCTGTGCAGCTGCAATCCAGTAAGTTGAAGCCGGGTACCTGCCATCTCTGAGGTTGGCTGGCACCCCAGCCTGAGGGAATACCCTCGTGCCGGGAAGGCAAAATAGGACACCCGTTCCCTTCCCTTTCTTAAGGGATTGATCCTGTTCACCAAGAAAGAAACAAATCTGCTTCTCTGTCTTGCCTTTTCTCATTTTCTGATCTTGTTGGAGAATTTCTAACCCCCTCATACCATCTATCAGTGATCTTTCTTGTTCTTCTAGATATTTATGACCCATATTTTCTATTTTTTTTTTTTTTTGTATAGGTGGGTCCATGGTGGATGTGGAGACTAGCTTCTTTCTTTCTCTGCCCGGCCTTCCCATGGTCCCATAAGAAAAGGAAACAACTGTCTTCCCTTTCTTGGCCTGCTGTTTTTTTTTGTATATTTGTTTTTGTGATGTGCATGACATGTGTACAGTAGGAGACCATTTGAGGGTTGAATGATAGATTATTATCAGATCTAGAGCATGGTTGTGGTGTATCCTTATACTTACTTATACATATATATAGAGAGAGTGTGTTTTTCTTTGCTCGTAACTAGTATTAAGGCCACTTCTTCCAATCAGTCTTTTTTCAGGCCACTATACTAAGACAGATACATCCATGCCTTGTGTTTGCTTGTCTCTTGTAATTACCTTGTTATTATATACCAGCTGCTTCTCTACCAATGTATATGTCAATCCATGGCAGCTCGTGAGATCACACACCCCACAACTTGGTTCTGTGACATTTTTTTGGAAGGGGGGCCCAATCATCTCATCCATGTGTTTTGTTTTGGATGAGTCCAGGTGATGATCAGATGGAATCATTCACAAAACAAAAAATGGATGCAATCTTGGTGGTCCAGAAATGGGGCTTTGGAAAATGAGTGTTTTGTGTTCCATATCAGCTTCCAATGATTCATCCCAACGGACACACCCAGATTGTTTGCCCTATTTGGGATGTGTTGATAGTTTCAAGGCTTCAGGTTGTTAATTGGAGGACATTCACATCATTTCAGCTAGTGTTTAACTGAATTAATGGTACTAGGTAGTGCAGTTTTGAAGCGTTAAGCAAATCCATCAAAGGTGGGGGTTTGAAGGGTGACAGGTCTCGGTGACATGTGGTGAGGTCCTGCCCCTGGTCCCCGGTCGGACCCGTTCGAGCTTGAGCCTATGGAAACCAGCCTGAGCCAGACAAACGAGGAGAGAGAAAAACCAAGGACGAAGAAGATATAAAGACCATGGTAATGTAATCACACAATTCAGAGACGTTGAGATGAGTATAGGCTAACGATTTGATGGGAACGATGCCAGTTAGCCAGAGATGATGGCTGTTCAGACCACCCCACCGAGTTCTTCGATGTCGACAGCCAAGCCGGGGACGACAGAGGGGGCGGGGCCGTCGCAGCCGACGCCAAGCACGACGATGCCGATGACAACGAGCATGGCTGGGCCACCGGAGGTTGAATCGACGATCCAGCGGCTCTCCGAACACCGGAACGTCCGCGGAGTGATCATCCTCAATCGCGACGGCGTGGTCATCCGCTCCTCCGGCCCGGTCTTCCAGGGCAGTGACGGCGTCATCGTGCTTCGTAGGTACGCTTCGGAGGCCAGGAAAATCGTCGACGCCGTCGGGAGCTCCGTTGATCGCATGGAACTCGACGTTTGTCCCACCCCCCTCCCCCTCTTCCTTTCGATTTCCCTTTTCTCTCTCTCTCTTTGAATCCTTCGCACCTTATCTGACTTTTTTTTTTAACTCTTTCTCCAGGACCAATTGAGGTTTCTCAGAATCAGGACTCAACAGCACGAATTGCTAATCACCCCTGGTTCGTGTCTCCCGATTAATCCCACATCGTCCAGAGGTTCATACTGAGAATTGGTACCCTGCTTTCAAACGGCCGAACAGACTCCAAATTTACCCTGGTCGTCATTCAAGACCCGACGAAATGAATTCTTCCGCTATTTCCTCTTGAATAGCTCGATTCTTTATATTCCCAGAAAAGTGAGTTCATCTGCTCTCTCTTTTTCCCATCATTTTCCTTTTGTTTTTGATAGAAAAAGAATGTGAATGCTGAGAAATGGTTGGGACACTACAGCCGTATCTTTTGTTTGTAGTCGCAAGAGACAGCCAAGATGAGCGCTGGAAAACTCACACACACGCGCAGAGGCATTCATCGAAAGGCATATAATGCCCCGGGGCTGGGTTGTGATGGAACGGGCAGTGATCTCAGTGACGGTCGTTTTGAGGAGGGAATTTGTCGACTTGATAAGGCCCACGCGAAACCACCTGATTGCCTGCTCACATCTTTGACAAATAACACACAGATTTCTAATCGGCTTCCATGTGATTGAGCGTGTCTTCCCGTCTTCGTGGAATAAAGCGGTTCTTGTGTATATAGATGACATGCATGTATTCTACGAACCTGAAAATTAAATTCAATTAAGTGCATTTCTTTTTGATTTCTATCTGTGCCACTCTTGTGTTAGTCTAACGTCACTACGGATGAAAGTAAAGGAGAGCCGGATTTTGAGAATGTTACCACTGAATAAGAAGTTCATCAACAGTTTACTCAGGGCCGCCCAATGTTTCTCAGGATTCTGTAATCTCAAGCATTGCTTTCCTACGAGGAGGAAGGTTCTGAAAAGTGATGCGTTGGTTGTCGTATGGTCGGAGAGAGGAAGACACGAAAGGCTTTAACTCGGGGAAACTGTAGGACTATTCTGTGGGAGTTTTTCCCATTTTCAAAACTATCTCTCAGCAGCAATCTTACAGCCGAGTCAAGCAAGCCCTTCTTCTACAAGCAGACAGTTTGAAAACAGGAAACGGCGGACACATACACGGTGAAGGAACATGTAAGTGGCCGCGGTTTCTTGGCTCCGCACGTATGTCATGTAGGCTGCCATTGTCAGACTGAGCCTGTTTACATGACCAGCAATTACACACTGGAAGTGCTGAGCCCACGAGCCATGCTGCCACTGCTGCTGCTGGAGGCTCAGCAGCCACCGAAGGTTTATAAAAGGCCGATGGTTCCCCCCTCGACCAGTCTTTCCCCCAACTCCAGGACCTGCCAGGCGCATCCACCTTTCCCATCTTCTCCTCACCTTTTTCTTACTCCACCCAACAACAACCACCTTAAACTACTTGCCTCAATAATCATTAGTCATGGAGTATATACCTCATTCCAACGCGTTAGATTCTCCGGCAGAATTTTCTGCTGGTTCGTTCACTCCCCCAGGAACGCTACCCCCTCTTCTGGGGGGCGCCTTTACCCCCCCAGGAACTCTTCTATCTCTTGCTTTTTT